CGTCATAAATAAGAGCATTAAATGATCAAGAACAGTTCAGCCCTAACTACTACGTTAGCGGGCAACTCTCTTAGGAGCTGACCGTTAGAAAAAAGTGTCAGACATACGAATGAGGTCGACTGTTCTGAAAAGATACAAAGGATAAAATAAGGTCGACCGTACCTGCAGTCGTAGGCAAAGAAGCTTTTGGGAGCGTTTACGAAGTCGAGACTACACAAAAGATAATACTCGCGAGATTTGCTTCAAGATTTGCTATTTGTAATTCAAATGTATGAAATTTAAATAAGGAAATCATTCTAATTGATTGTAATCTCTATATTTTGGGAAACTATCCCAAAAGATAAGGGAAATATCCCCGAATTTGAATAGGGAAATAAGAAGGGGCCGTGACCTAAAGTATAAATAAGGGATTAGAGGTCAAAAAATTATTAAGTCTCATTCTGAGCATTAGTGCATGTAATTCTTCCAAAGATAGTGAAATTTTTCTCCTCCTCACAGTGGACCTAACTCTCAAATTGAGGGTGAACCACTATAAATTATGTGTATTCTTATTTAAATTCCGCTTTTAATTGTGTTTTAACTCATTTAATTCGTGCATACCATTTAAAAATTTATTATTATTCTGTTGATGAATTTTCAATATCAATAAAAGGCATAATGAACAACTAGAAAAGTCCTAGCTAGCAGGGAGAAAAAAAAAAAACTAGAAGAGAGTATTTCTTTCGAGACTTTACAATATACAATAGATGACTATTTAGTTCCTCCTAGGGGCCACAACATTAACACTGGTGTCAGATTCTTTAGAAAAATCGAACACTTCAAGAACAAATCCAAAGTTTGGGAGATCATGATACTTTACGTTTTATATATACTAATTACATACATTTTTTTTTTCTTTTGCTTTTTTGTTAATAATAACATGAGGCTATAAAATGTCTCTCGCGTACTCATGTTTTTGCTGAAAAGGGTCTGCCTTTAGCAAAAGCTAGAAAAAGTTGAAGACGAGAAAAAAAAAAAAAGATGATTATTTAACGTAATGGGCCATGTTTACAATGTAGAAGCATAGAAAAAGAGAAGAATAATTTATAAATCAATTTAGGGGATAGATGGAAGCTTAATTTATTGTTATAGAAAGGGGAAAACAAATATCACTTTGGCAGGTGTATTTTTCGAAAAGAAATCAATTTAGTACTTTGAGTTTATAATAATATTAAAAATGTATCGTAACAATTAATTAAAAATGTCATTTTGATCCCCCAATATCATTTATGAGCCATAAAATTCACTTTCCACATCCTTCTAATTAATTTACTATATGTGAAATAATTTTCAAAAGAATATTAAAAAACATTAAAAGAAAATAAAAAGAACAAGATAAAATATAGATGTACTTTTATATTCTTAACTCTTGAAGGTTCATCAAGTTCCAAAGTTCACATAACCAATGTTCAACCAAAAAAAACAAAAAAACAAAAGACAAAAATAAGATAAGATGGAATCAAAGCCATTTTAAAAAATTACCTGAAAATTAATTACTTAACGTATCTGGTTACGATCTTTGTTAATCTTGTGGCAAAACAAAGGTCACATGCCGATAATTAACGCTGAGAAGATAGCTTGATTAATTACTTAGCTTAATTAATTAATTACTCTTTCAATGTTTATCAAGTATGACAATCACAATTTATATGATCTCGGAAAACAGTACCATACTTTTTTTTTCTTTTTAAGTATGTGATAAGTATTGGTGCATTAATATTGGCATCTTCATCTTTTTTCATTTTACATGTAAATGTTGATTCATGCTTTGCATTCAGCTCCTTTTGTTTTTTGTTTTTTTGTCATTTGCCACTTTTATGTCCCTTTTAACATTTTAATTGTGGCTTATAGTTTTTGTTGTCATTTTACTATTTACTATCAGGGTGATTTTTGTTAATGTTTGAATCTTTCCTTGTCGTCTTAACTTTGAGAAAACTAAGTAATCTGTATTAACTAAACTCTTTTTCTTTTTTTTTTTAAATGTGTTATGCTTTTAGAATTTTGTTATTTTTAATCTTAAGATGGTATTACGTGAGAGAAAACAAGATTAGAATCTTATCGTGTGTAAAAAAGAGCATAATATTTGTGCTATGGATCACTCCACTTGATTTTCCACTTGTGTGCTATTGTTTCCAGGATGTCGTTTACTTCTTTTCTTGTCGTTGGCCATGCTTATTGTCGTTTAATTTTATTTATTTTTGTTATTTCCCAGGTTTTTTTCCTTTTCCTAGTACCCTGTAGCTTTCATCTTTTAGTGTTCTCTTCCTTTTTAATTGTGTTCTAGTGTTCTCCATTTTTTCCCTCTGTATGATTTATTACCATTTCATTCCTTTCTGTCGTTTCCATGTTATATTGTCGTTTCACTCATTTGAATCGTTTACTTTTGTTAGAGTTTTTGTTGCAGCCTACATCTTGTTGTCGCTTTCTCTCTTCTTGCCGCTTGCTTCTTTGATATTGATACTGCATGCTTTGGTCTCATTCTTCTGTCGTTTGCATCACTTATCATTTACACGTTCTTTTATCGCCATTACGTCGTTTATTATCGTTTCTTGTTTTTTTTTTTGAAAAATTTTAATCAATATCCCTTGTGTTTTAATAAAATGATGGTTCCTAAAAAAAAAATAAAAATAAAAAAATGATGATTCATGTAAATAGACCCTGTGGCCCACCTCCGTCCCCTCCCTCCTGTTGCCCCCACCCCGCCACCCCTCGCTGACATCAGGGTGTGAGCTTCCATCGAAATTGTTCTTGGCAGCCTGTGAAGCTTAATGCTTCAACATGTATACAAAAAATACACCTAAACTGAGAATGATTCTGAATCTGTGAACCAAACGTCCACCTAATATTTCAACATATATACATGGCAAACATGGTTCTATCTCAACATATGCCAAATGCTAGCTTTTGGTATTCTTTGAGCAACCAAACATTTTTGTTTTGGTTTTATTATGATTAACGACGTCTAATCTATGTTGAGAATTTGTTTGAATGGCGATTTCCGAAATTGTAAATACTGAATTTAGGGAGTCAAATGTCAATTGCCAAGAATTAAAGTTCAAGAACTGAATTTGTCAAATACGTAAAGTTTAGGGGTATATGCACAAAAAAAAGATTATTTTTGGCTGATAAAGAAAAGACAACTATCAGTATGATTAATTATTTGATTGAAAGCTATTCAATATTTTTTTGAAATAGGTAAGTTGTATTTAAAGAAATACACACACCAATACCGATCTCAGTACACTATGTTTGGTAGAGGGATTTGTTCTCTGATTCGAATCATGATTCGTGGTTCGCTACAGTATTTTTTCTCACAAAAAATACACGTAAATCGAAAATGGTTCGAATCACATGGTTTGAATCATCCAACCAAACGTCCTCAAATCTCAACAAGTAAATAATTTTACCATAACAATCTAATAACGCACAAAAGGTAACAAAACGTTTGCCTAATTTTCTAAAAAAAAAAAAAAAAAAAACACATAGACAAACTAAATATCGAACACTTAATTGACTCTTTAAAATAAACCTCAATAATCGATATAATAAAAGGCTTTAATCGACGGAGAAGAAATGACCTATAATACGGAGGCCAACTATTTTTTGATATTTGAACCAACGGAACACAACTATTTTTGATAAATCAGGGAGCACAATTATTTTTAATTATGGCAGAGGGAGTACAATTAATTTTTTTTTTGGGTTAATTAGAGAGTACAATTATTTGAACCAAGGGAATCGCCAGAAATCCAAATTCCCATATCAACCACAATATTACACGCAGACACACACACATGTTGTCCTCTAATTGGAAGAACCATATTCCACATATATAACATATAAATAATAAGCGTAACATGATACTTATTTAATGTAAAAACTTAAAAAAAGTGTAACTTTAGAAAATATAGGTATTATTCATTTCACCGATTCGCGTTTTCAGTTTTAAGTTTCTATAATTAAAAACTCTCAGAAAATATCAAATCTAACTTTTGATGCTACAGTTAAAAACTCTCAGAAAATATCACATCTCAGCTCGAATTGAAAACTCGAATCCGCGAAACGAACAAAGCCTAATTATCTCATACTAGTTTTATACCTCTACAACATCAGTGGTATTTTCAATAAATTTCATGTCACGCTTCTTATTTCTATACGTTATCTGGAGGTAAGATTCTCTTGGAAGGTTTGTAAACAAATCCTACCTTGTAGTAGTGGAAGTAGCATTGTTTGTTACTGATAGAAAGGTGTGAAAAAAAGTAATAGTAGAGGGAGTTGTAACTGTTTGATACCAATTAAGTTGGCGGTGAATTTTCATTTTTTATATTAATTGATGTGATAAACGTTTGATAAATATATATACTCCTATAGCAATAATAGCTCACATCCCATTTTAGTTAGTTTTAATAAATAAAAATAAAAATTTAGGATTTATAGCCAATATTATTTAAAGAACTTAAAAATAAAAAAAGTCAAAGAAAATGTGTTTAATGGCCAGCTTTTGAATCTTTATGACAATAGAACTTATTTACTACAATAGTTATTAAATAGTATTCTACGGTCGTGACGTTCTCCATTTTATGTCGTTTTTGGTTTCACTGTCGTTTGAATTCAATACAACTTTCTGGATTACGTCGTTTACTATTAATGTCGTTTCATTTACTATCATGTCGTTTTATTTATTCTTTTTTTTTTCCTTGCCTCCCTTCTGTCAGATCATCTCGTCTATAGCTTTGTGTTTTTCTCGCTTCTGTCGTTTTATAGTCGAGGATGAGGATGCATGTATTTTCCCTCATCGACAAGTTCATTCGAGAACGCAGTAACAATTACAAACAACATTTTATGTGTATTTTTTCAGAAATCCACTGGGCATAAAAATATTACATGCAATATCAGAGAGACAAACTATAAACCAACCTCTACTTTAGTACAAATACGTGATCAGTAATGAACACATCATAAACATTACTTTATCATAAATATATTTCTAATGTAGAAAGCAAACACCATTTCATGATTCTCCATCATACATTCTTTCATTTTATTGCTGCCTCTCCATCATATCACATAAACCCTCACACATAATTGATTTAGTCGACCTCTTCAATGGTGGGCCCAGACCCAGACCCAGATCCACCAGAGGTGGGCTGCCCACTACCACTACCCATTCCTCCAGGCCCAGAACCCTGCCCGTAAGTCTTGGCAATAATGGGATTGCACAAGCCCTTTAACTCTTTCAACTTGTCCTCAAACTCATCTACTTCCGCCAACTGATTCCTCTCCACCCACTCCGTCGTCTCCTCCACCGCCTTCTCAATCTTCTCCTTCTCCGCCGCCGCCAATTTCCCTCCGATTTTCTCATCCTTTATCGTATTCTTCACACTGTACGCATAATTCTCGAGCGCATTTCTTGCCTCCACTTTCTTCTTCACTTGCTCATCCTCAGCCTTGTACTTCTCAGCCTCTTGTACCATTCTCTCAATCTCTTCCTTACTCAGCCTTCCTTTGTCATTGGTAATTGTGATCTTGTTCTTCACTCCCGCAGTCTTGTCCTCCGCCGAAACGTTCAGAATTCCGTTGGCGTCGATGTCGAAGCAGACGTTGATTTGAGGAACGCCTCTAGGCGCCGGTGGGATGCCGGTGAGCTCGAATTTCCCGAGAAGGTTGTTGTCTTTGGTTCTCGCCCTCTCGCCTTCATAAACCTGAATTAGTACTCCCGGCTGGTTGTCGGAATATGTCGAGAAAATCTGCTCTTTTTTCGCCGGAATCGTCGTGTTTCTCGGGATCAAGACGGTCATTACGCCACCGGCAGTTTCAATTCCAAGGCTTAGAGGCGTAACGTCGAGGAGAAGCAAGTCTTGGACTTTCTGGTTCCCTTCTCCGGTCAGAATTGCGGCTTGTACCGCAGCACCATAAGCGACGGCCTCGTCGGGGTTTATGCTCTTGCAGAGTTCCTTGCCGTTGAAGAAATCCTGCAGTAGTTGCTGAACTTTCGGAATTCTCGTCGACCCGCCAACGAGAACCACATCATGAACTTGGCTCTTGTCGATCTTCGAGTCCCTCAAACACTTCTCCACTGGCTCCATACACTTTCTGAACAAATCCATGTTCATTTCTTCGAATCTAGCTCTGGTAATCGTCGAGTAGAAATCAATTCCTTCGTAGAGGGAATCGATTTCGATTGTTGTTTGAGTGGTGGAAGAAAGCGTTCTTTTCGCTCTCTCGCAAGCGGTTCTCAATCTCCTCAAGGCTCTAGCATTGCCACTGATGTCCTTCTTGTGCTTCCTCTTGAACTCCGCCACAAAGTGATTGACGAGTCTGTTATCGAAATCCTCACCTCCGAGATGAGTATCCCCCGCCGTGGCCTTAACTTCAAAGATTCCTTCCTCGATCGTAAGTAGCGAGACGTCGAATGTTCCGCCGCCGAGATCGAAAATCAGAACATTCTTCTCACCGCTGCTCGAGGCCTTCTTGTCAAGCCCATAAGCAATGGCGGCAGCAGTGGGGTCGTTGATGATTCTCAACACATTAAGCCCCGCAATCGCACCAGCATCCTTAGTCGCCTGCCTCTGCGAGTCGTTGAAATAAGCAGGGACAGTGATCACCGCGCTTTTCACGGACTGACCCAAATAAGCCTCGGCTATCTCCTTCATCTTCGTCAGCACCATCGACGAAATTTCTTCGGGCGCGAATTGTTTCTCTTCGCCTTTGTAGTGGACGACGATCATGGGCTTGTCACCGGGGCCGGGGACGACCTTGAAAGGCCAGTGCGTCATGTCACTCTGTACAGAAGGGTCGGAAAATTTCCGACCGATGAGTCGTTTAGCGTCGAACACGGTGTTCTGTGGGTTCATGGCGACTTGATTCTTGGCCGCGTCGCCGATCAACCGCTCTGTGTCGGTGAAGGCGACATAAGAAGGGGTGGTTCTGTTGCCTTGGTCGTTGGCGATGATCTCAACGCGGTCGTTTTGCCATACTCCCACGCAGCTGTAGGTTGTGCCGAGATCAATGCCTATGGCCTTGCCTTCTGTCTTGGAAGCCATTGTAGGAAATATTGTAGAAATGGGTTATGAAATGGGGTTGGCTGTTGCGAGAAAACAGATTGGTAAAATGAGTTTGTTTGGCTTTGAAGTTGTATATTTGTTTTGAAGTTTGTTATTGATTTTTCACAAGGAAATTGGGTTTGTGTTATGCAATTTATAATGGGCTTAAAGTGATTCGTGGAAGTTTATTTTTGGACTAGAAGATGGTGGAAAGGACTAGGGAGAAAAGAACAGCGAGAGATTTCATGAAGGAACAGATCAGAGCTTGAATGTACTAGAGAATTCTGGAGTAGTATGGTTGTCCCTTGACTACTGTTCAACTTTATTATCTAACAGGTTTTGGCTGAATCATTTATTTTAGAAAGAAGCTACATTACTATAACCATTCAAGCAAAAAAAAAACAAAAAAAAAAAAAACTACATTACTATAAATTCAAGAGGACCAACTTATATATGGATGCATTTAATTCGTAAAGTTATTGGATTTTTTTTCCCTTGAGGATGATTAGTAGTTGGTTTTTAGTTTTGAATATGTTAGAATATACAGTGTATTTGTTTATAAGATTACTATCACCGGTGAACCTAAACTTTTAAATTTTTTAATTTATTTATTAAACTTCAAAAACTCTCACTTTACCTTTTAAATTGTGAATTGTTCTTGCTTAATCTCTTTTGTTGAAATTTCTGTTAAAAATAAATAAAAAAATAAAAAAATACAAACACATAGTCTTTCTGTTGGAATATATGTTGAAAGTAAATGGGTAAAAACTATAGACCACACTTAATATCTTTTTTTTTCCGATCTCATTTTAACAGAAATTCTTACAAAAAAAAGTTTAAAAGGAACTAATCTAAAATTTAGAAGGGGACAAATTAAGAATTTTTAAAGTTTCAGAGGCATCAATAATAATAATAATAATAATAATTCTTTTATATGAATGCATTTAGTGGTATAATAGTATTAGTGAACAAAAATCCTGCATTGCATGAAAGCTGAATCGTAGACGTAGAGTACTAGAGAAACTGTATGAATTGTTGCTTCAATTCAGCGGAATACAAATTAAAATGAAAATAAAAGAATTGTAACTTAATGACAAGAAATTCTTTATCACATTTTACTATTTGAGAAAATGCAAATAAAAGGTGCACTAGCTTTTTTTGCTGAGCGATCATTTCCACTAGGTGATAAAGTAATGTATTCTTCTTTAGCAAAAAATTCTATGTATTCTTATTCACCTTTTCCTTATTAATTAACAAGATAAAATATTATTATTTGAGTAGTCATGGGCTATGACCATTCTCTTATCTCAATTATTGGTCTCTTAGCAATTATGGAAAAGATCTGGGAGCTTATAAGTTAATCACTGTTTTGTTTGTTTGTAAGGTAAATTTCATTTTAAAGTCAACAAGTTACATACTTAAATATAATTGTAAATGTCAACTAGATCCATTAATAAAGACGGATAAAGTATAAGAGTAAACATAAGTATCGAGAAGATCCACTTGACACATTAAAAATCAAACCCACTTAAAACTTGTTATAAACAATTATTACTGTTGATGGGTAAAACTAATTAGTCAAGACCAAACACCGTATAGTAGAAATGACCCACATGGCTTAAGAACAACTCTAGCAGTATAACATACTGTCAATAGCCAATTCAAACAGACGAGACATACAAATGAGATCAAAATGTGAAAAAACCACTTCAGTTATTAGAACATATAAATATGATAAAAACAACATCGCTTTTATTATAAAAAAAAACAAATGATTGTGATATTATCTTCATTGTTTTTAGCGATTTGACACCTTTTAGATTCTAATGTCAATTTAATTACATTTTACCTGTTATTAGAAATATATAAAATAAGTTGTTCACTATTTGCAAGGAAAATTATCTTATTGAAATTTTTTTAATCAATTATGCCCTTTTCCAAGTGATCGCATTATTAGCAAAATAACAACATATTGATCAAAATTTGAAATTATCATATAAAAAATGCATTAATCATCACGTGTTTGTTGGACGTTCCAGAACATAAAATCCTACATGAAAAATTAGTCTCAAACTAAACAGAACTTCCAAAACAACAGAAGAGAATTTAATTGGCAACTTATTGCGTAGTTATGGATGAATAACTAGACATCAAAACTGATTTTCAGTCTAATTTACACTAATTAATAAAAGAAGAAAATTTAGAGCAATCCAATGAAAATTTCTCAATCAAAATGATAGTCTTAAATAGTGAAATTAGCAAAAATATAATTTTCTTTCTAACACCGAGCAATCCATAATGTCCCTCGGTGCTGCTAGTACAAATTCTAGTTGTCTTATAAATTGACATATCGTAAAAAGTGATTTCACAGACAATAGATTCTCTTAAAGTCATTTTGCAAAAGCAAGGACAGTATCAATGACATAAATGTCAACGTCAAAAGAAAATTAGATCGCCTGTAACAGTTTTCATATTTTGGACACAACTTTTTTGTAGTTCAGATTTACATAATTTATTTCTTAACCATCTATAGGTTTACTGGTTTATTTGTGTAAGACAAATCAACGACTTCAATCATTTGGAGCATAAATCCGAGGTTTTCTGTGTCATTCTTCAAAATTTTTCCGAGAAAAAGATGTTCATAGGAGTAAATTACAGATTTTACTACCCTCTTGGCTAATATAAGATTCATGCATTCTAGAGTATTTTCTCTGGGATAATTATACCACATGGCAAAATTTCATAACTTAATTTAAAATTTAGTAAAATTTTTAAAATATTATAAATATAGCAAAAATGACATAATTATTATAATAATGATGCCACATTTTATACTATATAATGATAGTCATTATTTTAATGATATCAAAATTTTACTATTTTTTTTTATATTTTAAATTTTTTGCTATATTTGAAACTCTACTAGCAAAGCAAATGGCTCATCTTAGGCCCAATGGGGAAGCAAAGCAAATGAGCCTACTCTAACTAAACACAGTTTCGATCACGGTAATCTTGACAAATATATATTTTTATTTTTTATTCTTGATTCATAACTTTTTTAATTAAATAATTACACTAATAAAAGGATATGTATCAAAAGTAAAAGATAAATATTCAGACTCATATACTCTCAAGGATAAATTATCTATTTTTTCTCCAATCTCATCAATACGAGCCCAATAATTAAAGAGAAAATTTCAAATTTAATCATCATTTTTTCAACTCTATTATTTATGCCACTACGTAATATTTTACTATAAAAAATAACTTACATATTATGAAAAGATAACTTACATGTTAAGAAAGATAATTTGTAGATTATCAGTTGCATGAGATTAAATTTGTAACAATTGTAAAAATAAAATAATGTTTTTGTTGTCTAGAAAATTCTCAGATACGTCTGAGTGAGTCTGATGTACACAGATCCAATGTCTAGAAAAGTCTCTTTTTGTTTTCTCTCATTATATTCAACGTGTGAAAGTGCGCGAGACTTCCAGACAAAACGTAATTCAACACGTCAAAGTTCAAACTAAAAACGCAGCGGAAAAAAATCCCCTTTTCTATACAATTCTCGAGAACTCTACTCCTTGGCGGTGGTTGGTCCTTTTTCCCCTCTACCCTACCTTCCATTGAGCCAATAATATCCCACCTTTTCCCCTCTACCCTCCCTGCCATTGAGCCAATAATATCCCACCTTCTGCTTGCCTCTCGAATTCTCTAGACAATTCCATCACACCCCTTTATATATGCACAAATACCTTTCAAAATCCCGCCTTTCAAACCAAACAAAACTCACAAACAAAGAGAAAAATACCAACGTCCAAAACACAAACACCCAACACACAAACTTCTCTGTTTCATTGCTCTGTTTTGTTTTCAATATTTTGCTCTGTTGTTAACATTTTGATTCATTGATTCCGTTTCAATGGCTTCCAAAACAGAAGGCAAGGCCATAGGCATTGATCTCGGCACAACCTACAGCTGCGTGGGAGTATGGCAAAACGACCGCGTCGAGATCATCGCCAACGACCAAGGCAACAGAACCACCCCTTCTTATGTCGCCTTCACCGACACAGAGCGGTTGATCGGCGACGCGGCCAAGAATCAGGTTGCCCTGAACCCGCAGAACACGGTGTTTGACGCTAAACGACTCATCGGCCGGAGATTCTCCGATCCTTCTGTGCAGGGTGATATGTTGCACTGGCCCTTCAAGGTCGTTGCCGGCCCCGGCGACAAGCCCATGATCGTCGTTCACTACAAAGGCGAAGAGAAGCAGTTCGCTGCAGAGGAGATTTCTTCAATGGTTTTGACCAAGATGAAGGAGATTGCCGAGGCCTATTTGGGTCAGTCCGTGAAGAACGCGGTAATCACTGTCCCTGCTTATTTCAACGACTCGCAGAGGCAAGCGACTAAGGATGCCGGTGCGATTGCGGGGCTTAATGTGTTGAGAATCATCAACGAGCCCACTGCTGCCGCCATTGCTTATGGGCTTGACAAGAAGGCCTCGAGCAGCGGTGAGAAGAATGTTCTGATTTTCGATCTCGGCGGCGGAACATTCGACGTCTCGCTACTTACGATCGAGGAAGGAATCTTTGAAGTTAAGGCCACGGCGGGGGATACTCATCTCGGAGGTGAGGATTTCGATAACAGACTCGTCAATCACTTTGTGGCGGAGTTCAAGAGGAAGCACAAGAAGGACATCAGTGGCAATGCTAGAGCCTTGAGGAGGTTGAGAACCGCTTGCGAGAGGGCGAAAAGAACGCTTTCTTCCACCACTCAAACCACAATCGAAATCGATTCTCTCTACGAAGGAACTGATTTCTACTCGACGATTACCAGAGCTAGATTCGAAGAAATGAACATGGATTTGTTCAGAAAGTGTATGGAGCCAGTGGAGAAGTGTTTGAGGGACTCGAAGATCGACAAGAGCCAAGTTCATGATGTGGTTCTCGTTGGCGGGTCGACGAGAATTCCGAAAGTTCAGCAACTACTGCAGGATTTCTTCAACGGCAAGGAACTCTGCAAGAGCATAAACCCCGACGAGGCCGTCGCTTATGGTGCTGCGGTACAAGCCGCAATTCTGACCGGAGAAGGGAACCAGAAAGTCCAAGACTTGCTTCTCCTCGACGTTACGCCTCTAAGCCTTGGAATTGAAACTGCCGGTGGCGTAATGACCGTCTTGATCCCGAGAAACACGACGATT